CGAACACTGATGTCATGCTGTCGATGATGATGAGGGAAGCATCTAACTGCGCTGCCTTCGGTAGTCCGCAATCAGCTGGCTCACCCCCTCCGCCGCCTGGTTGGTGAAAAACGGTTCGAAACGAATTGTAAAGCTTTGGAGATGGACTGATTGAAAACCAAGTGGGTTGGACTGACGTAGAACGACTAGAGTCTGAACAATCAACGAAGTCATTGGTCGTAGCGACGTGCTAGAAATGACTGTTAATGCAAGCGACCTGGTATTTGGAGGTATCAGTGATGGCTTGATTTCAGCCGAGCAGCTTGAGTAGACCTGTAAGGGCTCGTGAGTTTGTATTGGTCGGAAAGAGTAACCCCTCCATGGAACCCTGTGCAAATTAGGCGAAGCTACGGCTTGATGGATGTCATACACAACAAGAATGAAGCTTGGAAAAAGGCCACAGTAAAGGTGTCCTTTCACTCACTAACCGAAAGGAACGAAAAGTCCGATTAGTCACTTCTTAATGATACAAATTCATTGTAAGCTTTTTATACTGTTTTTCCGCGCGAAATAAGGACTAGGGGACACCATTTTGTGTTAGGTGGTTTATGACTCTGTAGCCTTTAACCATCTCTCATTTTAGGCTGTTCTGATCTGGTGGTTATTCAGGTTGGAACGACTTGGTTCGCTCACTGGCTGTTTTTGTCGCCTTCACTGATCATTATTCGACTGGAATTTGAAGAGTCCACCTGAAGATGTAAACGCTAGTCAAATCAACCACGTCAGTGGTAATCCAGGGCTGGAGGCGGCTTAGTTTGCATGACAGTTTTTGATTGCTGAAGAAATCAATCAGTATTTAGAGACTGAAAAGCGCGGCATATCAACGAGTGTTCCATGTTGACTCCTTGGTTACGTGGGCGAAAATATCGAATAGGCTTTTATTCACTTGCTTTCTTCACCGTTTTTCATTTGCCCGTCAGTGGAATTGATGGGTTGATTGATGGATTTGCCAACGAGCGACTGGAGTCGCTTATCGCTTCCATCAGGCATAGTTGCATGGAGCTTATCAGTACTAAATTATGAACTCTTCCGTAGGAAAATTAAACCAGCAAGAATAAAGCCTCCCATCCTATTTACTCCTATTTACCAGCAGCTGGGAACGTACTTTTGTAGCAACAAGACTGTAATGTTCCCCAGGGATTTGAAAGCTTACTGCCTGTCACGCAGCATCTGTTGAGTGACACTCAACAAGGCCCTGGTAACCGAGTAGATATCAGACGTGTCTGAAATGAAGTCATACCAGAAAACAGTTTCACCGTGCATACTCGCTTGATACCACATGTGAGTGAATAAAATTTCAAGGTATCGATTGACACGTGTGCCGTGCTTGTATGTCCGTAAACGAACCTCATCAATAATATCGGTTCAGTTACCAAGATGAATGCTCGAAGCAAAAAAATGTCCTTTGTGTTTCGCTTGCAATAGCCGAGGCACTGAACACCAGTTGGGTTGTTGAATGACGTTGGCTGGAAATCCATTCGCCCAACTCTACTATATCCAATCTCAACTTTTCCATCCGTAACAAATAAGCTTTGAGCACACAGATGTTGTGTGGATTGTGACAGTCTGTCACAAGTTTCTGGACGTGTATGAATTATTAATTGTACACCTCGATGATCGATGGCTTTTATTTCTTCTGAGTGGTAACTAAGGTTTGCATTCCACTCACCCGCGTTTACTGTCTGCAGAGGCTGTGCTGCAAGACGCCAGCAATTGTTCTTTTAAGTGCTTTGTCCACGTATCCAATCTGCGCTTTTGCGAATGAATTACTAACCTGTTTCTTTCAGCTATCGCCTTTATGACCGACACTTTCTTTTGGCCAATCGATCGGAATAGGTGGTGTAGAGCAGAGCTGTTCGCAGTCGCAAAACCCGTCACATTTTCCTGAGTTTTCGTTGTTCACCTCTTAGTCTTTCTTCAAACCCTTCATTATTCGGTTTTGAGGGATTTGCGCGCGCCGTTGCCCGCTTATACGGATTCTTCGTCACATCAATCAGGACTGATTATCTCGACAAAACGACCCGACCAGAAGCAGTTCATATTCAGCACACAAGTTTCGGAGTCTCTCTCCGTTGTTCATACGGCGAGTATCGACTCCGAATCCACCGTGGAGCTGTATTTCGGAGGAGCCCAGACGACCGGATTGGGCATTCATATCGCCCGCATGGACGGCAATGCTAGTACTTTGACTAATGGGCCCGGATAATTCTTGATGAGAAGTACCCTCAGCGTCGGAACTATAGTCATTTGGTGCAAGCAGGCACTGGTTGTATGTCGGCGAGCTTGATTCATCTTGACAGATGCGAACAGGCTAGTTCGAACCCAATCCAAGAATCTAGACTGCCGTCGCCTAGGATCGAGAAATCTGGTAGTATCTCAGCCCTCATGCTTCCTTCGAAGTATACGGCAACTAGGCACCAATAAGGTATAACTGATGAACGATTTTCGATCCAACTGTCCGACTCTGAATGACAACTAGCCAAGGTGGGTTGTATTAGTCCTTTCGAGTTTGTTCTACGGTTGACCGTTGAGTACCTTATCCAGGTAAATGGCATATCACTTTGGACGTTTTTCACATACACGTTATTAAGACTTAAAACGAACGGCCCTACGTCGACACCACGGGGTCATGGAAAACGGAGTCGTAGATAGTCAAATATTATGGTTATACGCAGAACATATGATGCCGTTTAAGTATACTTCAGTCCTTGAGCAGTCGCTGCATGCCTTGAGAGTATCACTGACCGGAATTTGCTGAGTTACACTTGCGCCTGTTCTCTCTGCATACAACGGTAACCAGCGACAGTAAGCGGACATAAATCTTTGCAGCTTGTAGCAGAGTGACCCCAGGACCTAATGTTAAAGTGATATAAAGAATTGATAAGCGGGGGCTACACAAAGTATACTAGTCGGCAACGTTCAGGTGTAGCACTCTTTCGGTGCATAAATACCATACCAACAGATGGAACACCAGGGCCGGGATACAACCAGGTTGCCCAAGTCTAGACAGGGGAAATCAAGAGGCAGTGGTCGGTTTCGAAACACGGAGCTCCTGGTCAGAAAATTCGCGGTCTAGCCACTTAAACACCTCATTTTCAAGAACAATGACGAGAGCAATCAGAAAAATTGCTTCAGTGATTTGCGGAATCGGGGTGCGGAGAGCGAAAGGTTACCTGATCCTCGACTTCCCGTGTAACAGGCTGTTGTGAGTGGACAACTGGGGACTCACCTCTGGGCTAGCGAATACGTGTGTGGAGTCTGTCCAGTGGACCATGTTTCTGACTCTGCTCTAGATTTACACCATGGCTAATCATTATCATCGTCATCGACAGCACTACTTCAGTGTTGAACGCCGGTGCTTCACTGCCGTACAACCATGATTTATTTGA